TATAATATACAATGTTTAAGATTATTATACATCTAACACCAAAAACAATAGAATTTGTTATTCCGAAATGTATCATTCTGTATCAGCAATCATTTGAAAATTAAAATTTTCCTTTATATGGGGTAAACTACATCGTCAACATTGACATGTTCAAGATCATCACTTCAAACACTTTTCAAAAAACAAAACAGTTAGATTAATTAGATTCTCAAAAACACAGTATGAGTATCAATGACTTTCATTTGGTTCCTAAAAACACATTATGAATATCAATGACTTTCATTCGGTTCCTAAAAACACATTATGAGTATCAATGACTTTCATTAGATTCTCAAAAACACAGTATGAGTATCAATGACTTTCATTAGATTATCAAAAGCATAGTATAAGTATCAATGACTTTCATTAGAATCTTAAAAACACAGTATGAGTATCAATGACTTTCACTAGGTTCCTAAAAACACAGTATGAGTATCAATGACTTTCATTTGGTTCCTAAAAACACAATACAAGTAGCAATGACTTTCATTAGGCACAATAAGTGTCACAGTGACTTTCATTTGGTAATGTCATCAACTCTCTATTGAATATATTACTAATTGTCTTAATCTTCAAGAATAACCACAAAACAAATTCATGTTTATATTGAACTTAACAGTGAACTTTATAAGCAGATCAAATAATCGATTGAATATGTGTCATAATCACAATCGAAAGCTACAATGTGCAATTAACCCTACCAGCTGATAAATGCATTATTAAGAAACAAACCGCTTTTATTTTCGGTAACAAAATATTTTTGAAATTTACAATGATCCATAAGCCAAATCAGATACTTATAACATTTTATAAGTTAGAAACAGCTGTTGTAATCAATTAAAATTTACCAATCACAGATCTACTATACATATGTCATGATAAAATATTGATTTAGCTTGTGATTACAAATTGGATAATATTGATTGTACTGCGTAACATAGGTGAAAGTATTAACTGAATACGAAATAAAATGACATGCATACGTCGCAAATCGTACACGACTTTTATTACTTGCATAAATTTACCACTGCTATATCCCAATTAAACAAAATTATAAAAGAGTACTCAACAAAGTGTATATTTAGTAAATTATTATATAACTGTATGTTAAAAGTATTTTTATTGATATTTTATCTTTTTAAAGATATTGAAGTAATACAATAAATTAGTAACACGCAGAAGGTATGAATAGTAATTAAAATATGAAAAATAGATAAATTAAACAATTCAATATGTACAGTTAATTTATTTTTATTTATTTTTAATATTCAGACTGTGGATATTATCTGTTTTAAACAGTCTTCTCTATGTATCTTATATGTACCAGCTTTGAGCCAAATCAGTCATAGCACTGTGATGTCTGGGAAATGACAGAAAATAATACAGTCTACCAGCCAACAATTGGTGTGTGATGTGGCCGGGAGTATCAAAAAGACTCAAGCAATATTGTCTGGTAAAAGGACTTTATAGATGATTATAACCAAGTTTGTTTGTTTATTTGTTTATTTATTTGTTTGTTTGTTTTTTGTCTGTCTGTCTTACTGTCTGTCTATTTATTTATTTATTACTCGCAATATTAGCAACACAAGAATTACATAGTTCTAGCATATTTATCTAACCTCATTTTAAACTCTGCAATCCATTCATACAATACCAGAAATCATTTTTTATATCTCAAAATCTCATAGTCGCACAGCTGCTATTAATATTGTGTGATTTTATTTCTATTTTTCTTGTAAATTCATATTTCACCCTATTTATGCATTTTTTTATTGTATTGTTGAATTATCTATTGTTCTGGCCAATTTTGTATTGGCTAGCTTAATTCTATGTAACATTTTATACCCTTAAGACATGCATGAAAAAACATTCATAATTGAATTGTTTTAAATGAAGAAATAATACACATAATTACATTTATTTAAAGTTTTCATCATTCCATTAGAGACAAATTCCTGATGTAATATATTTTGGTGGTCTAGGCAGAACATGTTTTATTTTATACTGTTGAGTGAGCAGTCAGATAGGAAATCCAACTCAAAACCTCCCAATTGTACAACACCAAGATACATATGAGATAAACAATAATACAAAGCATAATGTATTATTCTCATTTCACATCTATAGCCAGAAAATTCAACAATGTTAAAAAGAAAGATTTTGACTCTTTTTTTGGTTCACACTCATTTTTTTTGTTAGAACTATTTCAGACTAGTTCTCAATTTTGTAATCACATTTCAAACTAGGTTTTTAATGAAAATGGAATTAAAATTAATATTACACAAGACAGGTCTGCTGGCACATAGACATTATGCTGGAAGTCTAGACTAAACAAGTCATGCATGGCACAGTCCCCGTTAGTTATCAAATTTAAGATACCGGTATATAGTTTTGTTTATAGTAATATAGCTGGAATATAACCATGTCAGGAATATGATTTTTTAACCCTAAAATGATTGACATTTGTATCAATGATCGTCAAACAAGTACTTGTCCATATTGAGAGATATTGCTCTGGAACAGCATTCAAAATCAGCCATTTTAAATACATCTATATATATAACATGATGTACAACGAATATATAAAATTTGAATATAATCAGTCAAAGCATTTAAGAGATATGGCTCAAGAAGCCTAATCATTAAAACAAAATGGCCGCAAGTCAGCCATTTTGAATCCAATCTGAAAAATAAAATGCCGTGCATCAGGAACCCGTAATGTCTAATGTATGTACCAAGTTTGAGCGAAATCCATCCAGAAATGCCAGAAATGCTTGATATTTGATGATTTTTTAGCACAAAAATGACCACTATTTGGAATAGGATCGTCAAACCAATATATCTGTATATCTATGATATAATCTATAATGAATATTTAAAATTTGAACATAATCAGTCAAAGTAACTCAGAGATATGGCACTAGAACCACATTCATTAAAACAAAATGGCCGCCAGTTGGCCATTTTAAATCTTCTCTGAAAAACAAAACTATAATGTCTAATGTATACCAATTTTGAACAAAATCCATCTGTAAACAGCCGAAAAATGTTTGATTTTGATGATTTTTAGCACAAAAAAGGCCGCCATTCGGCTATCTTGAGTCAGATCGTGGAACAAATTGACATGCATATGTATAATATCATGTATGATGTATGTGTGAAGTTTGATTGTGATTGGTCCAGGCATTTCTAAGATACAGGTCCGCACACACAGACGCACAAAGGTCAAAACACAAGTCCTCGTTTTCGGACTGCATCCGAACGGGGACTAAAAACAGTTGATGATTGTGGCATATATTTATGAGACTTTTTTTGTGTGTTTTGGGTTATTGGACATTACTCAAAGATTTTTGGTACATTCCCAAATAAATCTATCTTATCATTATCTTACAAATGGGTGAAAAACAGGTACAACAGGCCTCACTAAAGATTGGTTATAAAATTGAACCCCTTTTTTGTTGCAAGCATTCTCAGTAACATGGCAACTAGGAAACTTGTTTATTATTGGTACAGTGAGCCGAGTGATTTCAGAACAGACCCTAGTAGTAGTTATGACTCATGTGGTACCACATTCAGAGCAGTACCCTACCAGCAGTTATGTTCAGGTATTTATTAGAGACACCTAGTAAATTAAAATTTGTTTCTCTTGCGACGAAAAATCTGCGATAATAGCCAAGGGTGTGTGGGACTGCATTTCAAAAAGGTATTTTATATATAGTGTATATAATTATTCTTTTAACAAGTATTGCTTTATACTGATTCCTCAACACCCCACCACCACTCTAACCCTAGTCCCCCCCCCCCTTAAGTATTGTCTAATCTTAATTTATTACACTTGTATTATATGTAATTAAAAATGAAGTTGCATTACGATTTGAAATATACATTTTGTCTGGGATTAGGCCAGACTTTTTTTATTCCTTGTTTCTTGAGTTTTTATAAGGCTTTGAGGTGGGCGGGAAAAAAAATAAAATTAATTTTCCATTAGATTTGTGTGATTCTCAATAAATTGTAAGTGAGATCATTGATCGGAGAGAAGAAATAAAATAAAATTTTATTCCATGTATGAACTTGTTTCTCATCTGCGCAAGACTTCGGTACTTTGATCATGATACTCCCACCACAAAAATGCAACTTGGATTTGTTATGCGGCGGGCGGGTTTGCGAAACAAGGGATAATAAAAGTCTAAGTCTGGCCTTACTTGATTCGCAAATAAGAAGTCGTGCAAAGTGGGACGGAAGTGAGAGCGCCGCCAGTGTTTGGAGTGTGAAAAACATTTTGGATTGAGGTTTGCCAATTTTTGTGATTTATAGTCACTATTTTTAAGCGTGTAACCGATATAGGTATTTAAATAGATAGTCCAATGACATTTCTCAACAATATATATTGTTCTAATGTTTATTTTCACTACATCCGGGTTCAACATTTCAGTCATTTACCTAAAATAAATGAAAAGCCTCCACGTTTAAATATCATATGAACACTTGCCTATGAGATTCGGAACGTACAGAAATACGCTTGTCTTCATGTTTTTAAGATGAGAGTTGCTTCCTCCTTCGCAACAGTTGTCAAAGCGTTCACATTTCAATAACACCACGTTAGGACGTCGATGTTTACAAACACGAATCTCCAACACAGCTGGTAGTCGAAGAATAAAATGTCAATGTTCATTGGTTCACTGATAGACTCATAAGCCAATTGCAGCGCGTGTTACTAAATTGTTTCACCTCGAACAAACACAAATTATTTGTAATAAAAATTAAACGAATTGTGAAATTGAAAATGTTTTACAATTATTACATATAATTGTGAATAATAATTATAAAATCAATATTATATTATTTGTAATGTATTAATGAACAATACTACATTTACTAAATTTAAAATGTATATTCTTTTGGCACGAGGCTACTCAAGTAGGAAGGAAGGGAAAGCCCTAATCACCAAGATGGCGTTCGGGATGAAGACGTGTCGGGAACCGGAACAGAATAAGTTGCCTGGTTTTACATGTGTTCTATTTGTGATTATTTGTTTTTCTAGTGTCGGTGCTACTGTGAGCACCCAACCATTAATCGACACTTCGAAATACTATCATTATGATGACATGACCGAACTTTTACAACAATATGCTGCGAACTACCCCCACATTGTTAAGCTAGAGTCGATAGGCGAAAGCGTCCAGCAAAGACAACTGTGGGTTATGAAAATAACCGACCATCCCGAAGTCTCTGAGCCCGGCGAGCCATGGGTGAAATTGGTCGGAAACATGCACGGTAATGAAGTCATTAGCAGACAAGTTCTGATATATTTAATTCAGTATTTATGTGAAAATTACGCTTCGAATGACCGTGTTGCCAACCTTGTTGATAACACGGCTATTTATATCTTGCCGAGTATGAATCCGGACGGATTTGAACGAGCGAAGGTGGGCACTTGCACTGGCGTGATGGGCCGTAGAAACGAAAATGGTATAGATTTGAATAGGGATTTTCCTGATCAGTTTCAGTCTTCGGCACATGATAACGACGCCCGGCAACCGGAAACATTGGCGATCATGAAATGGATCTCGGAAAATAAATTTGTGCTTTCTGCTAACTTGCATGGTGGTAGCGTTGTAGCTAGCTATCCATATGATGATTCCAGGCTACACGTACTGGAGGGGAGGTATAGTGCAGCTCCTGATGATGATGTGTTCAAACACCTTGCTTCCACATATGCTAAAAACCATCTGACGATGCACAAAGGCAATCTGTGCCAAGGCGACAACTTTCCTAATGGTATCACCAACGGAGCAAAGTGGTATGATGTGCCAGGTAAGGTGACAAGTTATTGGGCTTCATGAACCATATACATGAAATGCTAAAAGATGAATCAGAAAATTTTCTTTGTGTGTGTGTGTGTGTGTGGAGGGGTATTTTCTCTTCTTAATATAAGATATTCTTTATTCACTTGTCTTCTGTTGATAATCACTATATTATATGAGCTCTGTTTAGTAGTGATTCTTAGGACAAAAGAATTGCGAATTGTAGGTAGATGTATGTGGGAATATTGTGCAAACAAACAAATGATAACACTGTAACAGGTGGTTAAATTGATTTTTAGTTTGAGTTTGACTTAGTTTTTATATATTCACACTTGTATGAAAATTAAATCTGTTTAAAATGTCTTACATCAATGAAATAAGCAAGTTCTGCCGGTAATACAAGTAACTATACATTTGTATCTACTATATTAGCCTATATGTTGTACTTTTTCATTTGGAATTTAATTTAGCTTAAGGTTTAAACCGATGAAACTACTTCTGTCATGATGCTTTGCAATACACACTGTGAGAAATCAGTTAAAATTGTCACATTGTAATTTTATTGAAATAAGTACTTCTCAGTAAATAACTTGACCTAAGTAGCCACCATCTTATTTGTTCATTTGTGCCTGCATGGTGATGCTCACTAAATTTGATGACCAGCCTCAAATTATTACACATTATTGATGAATTCATCATTCTGATCAGCCCCAGAACCAGCACTGAAACATTATATCATTAACATCTGTCAAGGAATTCTATTTCTATAATTTCAGTTGATGTTTTTCATCCAACTTTATTATATTTGGGGTAAATAATAAATTTTCTAATTTGATTCATTATTAAATTTGACAGGTGGTATGCAGGATTATAATTACCTACAAAGTAATTGTTTTGAAATTACAATGGAACTATCTTGTTGTAAATATCCACTGCCATCAGAACTGACTAAAGAGTGGAATAATAACAGGGAGGCCTTACTTGCATACATTGAACAGGTAAGAATACTAATCTTCTCTGTCAACAGAGTTTAAATTAGTGCTGCAGAACATTTAATTATCCAAGATGCAACTCCTATTCCGCTTGTTATGAAACACTCCCCAAATGAAGTGGTGGATATTTCTTTAAAGCAAATGAAAATTCCTTTACTGTCATTTAATCTTCCCACTCCAAAAAACTTTCATATAAACCTATATTGAACCTAACTGTGTGTGTTTTATGGTCAAGTACCCTGGTACTGCAATGTTAATGATGTTTACATAGCAACCAAATGTTAGCATGAAAACTACAGTGCTGTTTATAATATTGCTTGATATGTTGGAGACATTTTTTTGGTTTGAGGATTCAGGGGTATTCATGTAGGCAACATTTCTAGAATGTTACCATGACTCCCTCTTATTGTATAGACCAAATTAAATAGTTAAATAGCTACAAAACCGATGATTTTTTTTGTGCTGAAAATTGGTCTCTTGTGAAAATGTATTTACATGCCTTTTTTTTAGCTCCGCTGTCGACTTTGTCGAGCGGAGCTTATCATATGAGTGATTGTCTGTCGTCCGTGTCAATGTTTTACATTTTCGACTTCTTCTTGAAAACTATAAGCCTGAATGCTTTGATACTTGGTGTATATGTACCTTGGGTAGACCTCTCTTAGATTTGTTCATTTGATGATGATATCTTCAATTCTCTAATTTTGATGTTATATTTTTGTCATTTTTGGTGAAAAGTGATATTTTTGAATTCTTGTTAAAAACAGCAAGTCTACATATTGTTCATTTTCTAATGATATTTTCTGTTCTTTAATTGAAATGTGCATTGGTAACAGCGGAGCTATCTCAGCCGACAGGCTGCTTGTATACTTCTTTCTGTGTGTATAAAACTTGGTATACTGATGTGTGCTTAAATCCATTCCTAGACACACCCTACTTGTTTCCGTGCAACATACTCATGCCATATTGTATTACTTAATGTTACCTGTTGCCAACCCCTTCCAGTTATAACATCCTGTTTGTTGAAGTCAGGAATACCACAGTATGGCACTTTACACTAAAATCAAAATGCTGGGTCTTTGCACTGTCTACTGGAGAGGTTCATGCTTTTTGCTCTCCATCAATATGATTACAAAAATAAAATAGCATCAGAAAAAAAAATGTGTTGATATCAGCTGAGCACACTTTTCTGAGTTTAAATTTTAATGTTTCAATCCTTTTTCTTAGAATGAACAAGTTGAATTCTGAATTCATTTCTGAATCATATTTCCACAGTCATACATCAGTTATAATCAAAAAAGATTAACCATTCAGAATTCTTCTTGCAACAAAGGATAAAATCATATCATGGTTATTACAGTGGCAAACCACCATAAGTTGTGCTCTCACCCTCCATTCTACTTATAAAGTGGAAGGGAAGGTGACATCTCTGCCATATGCCCATGCTTTTGTTCTAAAGGTCCTTTCAAGGATAGTATCACCTTCAGCCAAACTGTTTAAATGTGAAGAGTTAGTGGGTCTTCAAGCATGTCCGCCTGTCTGGGACCAAATCTAAATTCAAACTTGGTACATACTGTAAAACATCCTTTTAGCGAATTTAGCGAAAGAACGGATTCGCTAGTTCAAGATGTCGCTAATGACGTTATTATAAATTCAAAATGGCCAAGGCTTGGGGATTTGTATACAGTAATCCGGAACATAAATTAATTACACTTGACATTTTTTTTTTTTTATGGAGTTTATAACTGCCCATTTGTTTGGCACGTGCCAGACAAGTATTGTGAAAACAGGAAATCAACAATGACAATAGAGATTCGTTAAAACAACATTTCACTATTCACTTTTACCACAATTCGCTAAAATTCGCTTTTCAACATTTTACAGTATATTGAGCAATAATGGTATCTTGGTGCATGTCAATGAATGCTGGTTCTGAGACTCATCTCTGTTCACCAATCGCATTCAAACTTCACAAATACATCATACATGCCAGATGTAATTGTTACATTGTGTCCATTTTTAAGCCAAAAAGTATATCAAAACTACCGTTTCCATTATATACCGGAACTGGATCAAATTAAATACCTTATAGTATAAATTCATCATGTCAAGTTCTGATTCAGATAAGCATACTTTTTTACTGTTGCATAATATGTTATGTCGATGAGATGTACTTTTTTATGGTATGAATACTAAGAAATGTTTAGGCTGAATATGATATATAAAATTGATCCATATTTTAATTTGAAAGTCTGCCATTACAACAACAAGAACAATCCTCTCAATGTCAAATCATATGATATCAGGTTTACCCATACCGCAAAAGTGAAGCGGAATACTAATATGACATAAAGAAATATGAATTTATAAATAAAAAGAGAATAAAAAGTGCGGTTTTAAAATCATGTATTTACCGTTATTAACAAAATATTAAAAAAAAAAGTTATGTTTACACAAGTAAACAAAATAATGTCATATACAATTGTTGATCAAGTCTAGCAGCGTATGGCTGTATCACATGATTGTACCACATGGTGCTTTATGGTTAATGGATTAGTACAAGGTGATCTACAGTAATTAATCTCCTAATCACATGCGGTACGTCAGAACCATGACAAATCCTCATTATCAAGTCATCTATCCACCATGCTTTCTAGAGTTCAAATTAAATCTTTTTGTTTATATAAAACTGTAGTTATTGTTGTAAGTTAAATATAGATCAGTCATCTGTTTTAGAACACTTGAACTTCGTCAAACTATGATTAAACGGTAATCTACCATAAAATATGCATGTCAGTTGCAAATCGCAATTTATTATTTTTTTTTAAATTTAAGTACATTTAATAATGTTCCAATGTTATTATGTACACTTGATTTAGTATTTCATTTTTTAATGCGAATATAGAGCAACAGCTGGTGTGATAATGTAAAATATGGAGCTTTAAAGGCAACTACCCCCCTTCCATATAAAATTACATATCTTCATCTAGTACAATACATGATGGCATTAAAGACTATGCATGACCTTTCAAACCTTCCTCTTATTACTAAGCCTCAACACATTCTTATTTGAATCAATGAAATGTACTCAAGTATATACAATATAAAATACATCAAATAATATACAAAGCTCACTATTCATTGTATACAATAATCCAACATATTTATGTACACAACTCTGTTTAACAAACGATGAATGAATCAACCTGATTTAAACAGAATCTGTGTCAAGGAGCTAGTTGATACCTCTACCCTTCCTGTAATTCTGGAACAGTGCTTAAAAAAATAAAATAATTCATTCAGGATCAGATTTGTTTGCATTGTGCATAAATTAGACCTGTTGCTACATGTAGCCCACAGTATGTTGCTTATCTGTGAATAATAAAATTGTTTTCAATATAATAATCTATTTCTGTTTATTTGAGTTTTACAAAAATGGTACTAGCTTTAATTAATTCCCATTCAAATTTATTACAATTTATTTGTAATCCTTTGAATATTTAAATATATCGATTGCAAAATCAGTCTTGTTGTATAAAGTACATTTAAACCAGTGAAGAACTGCAGAATAATTGTTATTTTTCGGGTTTACATTGATAAATGTAATTATTATTAATACATGTAATTTAAATAACCAGTTTGTAGAACATAATAGTTCCACTATTTTTTTTAAAAAAATACTAATTTCAATATATTGTTAAATCATGAGGCTAATTTACATATCAGTTACTGAGGTGACATACCTTCTACATTTCAAACAAAGGAAATATAGGTATTTCTATGTTCAAAATATTTTAATAAATTGGTGTACAGTCAATGTAATAGTATATTGGAAATGTCATTTGCAATGTTAAGTATATTGCCGTATTATCAAAATTAATTTTTCTATTTCTGATATTGCTTTTAACAAAAAATATAGGCTTATGTCATTAATATTTTTTAATATTTCCAATATATTATTACAAAAAAAGGATAAGCAAAGTAAACAATGAAATTTTTTTTATTAAAAAAATACAAGTTCATTGAGATTTCATATTTATTTTGTGATTATTCATACTTTCAATGATAACTATTTAATTGACAAATAATTCCACAGAGAAGCTGATGTGCTGATTAAAATGCTAAGTTTGCTATCAAACTATAAACCAAACATTCGAGTACTCTGTTGTATAAATGTATCCATAGAATGTTTGAAATAAAAAGATAAATATTGCAAAATAATAAAATTCAATTCTAAACCTTGACTGAACAATAACAATGCCACTCACATGTGTAAGCCCAGCATGGCCTGAAATATGGAACCCCACTACACAATAATTTTTTTCTGCCAAAATTTTGTGCAACATTGTAGAATGTTGTGAAAAAAAATGCAGATTCATTTTGTGAATGGTGTCATATTGATTACTGGTACTTACACATTTCAAAAAGGTGATATTATGGTACATATAGTACAATGCAATTCTTAATGAATGAAACGGTTAACACCATCCTGTGTATTTTGAAATCCAGTATTTCGTAAAATGTGCTCCACAGCTGATTAATTAACACTTGGTACCATACTTTATGTAATTTTTCCAATAAATTTGTTGTTAACTTTGCATTTTTAATAAAAGTGTACATAAACCAAAAAAAATTATGTATTTTGTAAGCCATGAACGTCAAATTAGCCGGGACCTGTGTAGACTCTAACACCTCTCTCATTTACATAAGCACATATGCTAATAATAGAGCAAATCTAATGTACCCTTTTATATATTCGAACCTCATTTCTCGTCATGAAATTTTCACAAATTGATGATTTATTTAAATTTGCATTCTTCAGTAGATTGCATGAACTAGTGAATTGCTTTGTGGAATTGTTATTAGTAATTTATGCTGTATACGTTTGCAGCGATATCCCCAAGGGCCTTTAAACACATTGCTAGATTTATCACCAGGAAAATATTATCACGACTGGGCTAATTTGCATAAAAATACAATGTGCTAATACCATCCCTGTATTCATTGTG